TAAGGTCGCTCAGCGAGCTATGGAGAGGGCTATGCTTGGAGTTTCTCTGCGTGATAGACTCAGAAATGAGGATATCCGCAGTAAAACCAGAGTGACCGACATAGCCCAACGGATTAGTAAGCTGAAGTGGCAATGGACCGGCCATATAGCTCGAAGAACCGATAACCGATGGAGAAGAAAGGTTCTCGAGTGGCATCCTCGTACCGGTAAGCGTAGTGTAGGGCGACCCCCCACTAGATGGAGTGACGACCTGGTAAGACATGCAGGAAGTCGATGGATGCAGGTGGCTCAGGACCGTGCTTTGTGGCATTACTTGGGGGAGGCCTATGTTCAGCAGTGGACTTGTGAAGGGCTGTAATGATGATGATGATGATGATGATGATGATGAGTCGCGTGAAATAGTCAATCGCGTCCTTTTTTGTTCAACTGAAAGCAGTCGCGAAACCCACCTCGCAGACACCTTGTGGAAACCCAACTCGTTGACAATGATGTTTTGAGTTCGTTCATAAGAGATGTCTATAATCTCGGCTATCTCTCTAATTTTTAATCTGCGGTCTCCCATTATTAAATCAAGTACTTTTTTAATATTTTCGTCAGTAGTTGACGTCGAAGGCCTTCCAGAGCGGGGTTCATCTTTCACACTCTCTCTACCACGCTTAAATTCTGCTATCCATTTTTTGACGGATGAATATGACAGAGCACAATCGCCTAATCGGTCAGTACGACCATGTCATCATGGATGGCTTTTGATGATAGCCCCTTCTTATGGAGGTACTTAATGACGGCACGCTTCTCGATTTGCTCCATTCGCGGAAATTATGTCCGATTACTTTGTTAATAAATATATAAAATCACAACTAATTATCGCACACGTTTCGAACTTCACACAATGAACTAGTCTGAACTGAACTAAATAATATGGGTAGATTTGATTTTTAGAATTGAATGTGTGGCGACGCACACATTTATTTATTTACTTTATTTAAAGAAATAATTATTATTTCACAGATATGTATGTATACAATTTAATATTAATATTATGATATTTATTACATTTATATATCTACAATACAATTACAGTCACACACACATATATATTATACTATTTCTATTTATTATAGTAAATTTTATTTTAGTATTGTATTATAGTATAATCCTCGGTGCCGGCCGGTCGAAGTACATTGGAAACAAACATTCATTTTAATTGTTATCAACACCGTGTACCTGAGTACGTTCTATATATACTGTTTATGATTCGGAATGTTGATAGCGCGATTTAGGCTTCGGTGTGTTTTTCGCTTGTGGCGGCGACGACAGCGCCGCTACATCACCCCCTGCTCAGACTGGAGGTCGATAGTGCAGTCGAGTTGTCGACGAATGTGCAAGTGCCAGGAGATTGCCTTGTAGTCTGCGGTGAGTCGAGAAGAAGGCAAGTAATCTGCGAGAGTGCCGTGAAGCAGAGGCGAGCAGTAAGGCTCAGAGCCGTGCCGAACACTGTATGGCGCAGAGAGTAGCTTGAAGGAACAGGAAGCATTATTATTCCAGTGCTGCGATGAACCTTGTGAAGCTAGATGGCTTGCAGGATATGAAGACTGCAGACGATATCTGCTTGGGAGCGAATGGGTGGGGTATTCAATGACGATGATGAAGCTTGAAGTTTCCGAAGGTTGTTGGTTGCGTGTTCAGATCACGTTGAGGTCACCAGTTATGGAGTATAATGTAGTTGTGTAATAAGGTACCTGATGGTAAGTCCGTCACCGGAATAAACAAATAAGTCACGGTTGGACAGTTATATATTTCACGGTTCAACACACAAAAACAGTCTCACATGAAGAAGCAGAAGGCGATTATAAATACGAAATTATACGATTACAAACAGATTAGAGATTATAGCAGAAATCACAGTTTACAGTCACTAACATAAAATAGGAATGGACACTCAAATAATATTTGTTATGCGTAAGGGCAAAGTTCGGCGTAGGCGCAAGCGGCACAGTATTCGCGTCACACGATCAGATTGCGACTGGCTGGTCGTTGAACGTACTCAGGTACACGGTGTTGATAACAATTAAAATGAATGTTTGTTTCCAATGTACTTCGACCGGCCGGCACCGAGGATTATACTATAATACAATACTAAAATAAAATTTACTATAATAAATAGAAATAGTATAATATATATGTGTGTGTGACTGTAATTGTATTGTAGATATATAAATGTAATAAATATCATAATATTAATATTAAATTGTATACATACATATCTGTGAAATAATAATTATTTCTTTAAATAAAGTAAATAAATAAATGTGTGCGTCGCCACAAATGGATCTGTGTTAGGCCGAGTACATTTCAATCCACCCTCGTATGCCCATTTTACAACATATGCACCAAGTTAAAATTCTTAAATATCTAACATATAAGGTTGAAACAATGTTCTTCACTTGAAAATATAAATATCTTAACTAATACAATAGTTCAATTTACATTTTTCCTGTACATTTTACTATTAAAAACACTTTTAAATTTCTTACACAAAACTATCAGTATTTCACTAATCCAAAGGAATTTTGACATGAAAATAACACAGAATTCACCTATTTTGCTCATACAGTCAATCTGAAATATTTTACAAGTCAATTTTACATAAATTGCTGAAATTTGCAAATATTTAAATTTCTACTTATTTTGACCTCCTAAGTTAATGCGCGGCTACGAACTCACGCTATTTGAACAACTAATTCTTTTACGTATTTATAAATGCAAACCCGTTAAAAAAAAATTAATACTTTCACGAAATTTGGCGGCTGGGATTAATCCGAACAATTCCTCAGAGCACTCTCCATGGTATATGCGAAAGAAAATGCAAAGAGATGCAACATCTCTTCGCAATGCCAGTGAATCGAGCCGATCGGATAGCACTCGATCGTCGACGATTCGAGCCGCTCTGCACTGGATGCGGTAAAGTGGAAGGAGCTGGTACTGGGGAGCCCCTGCCCAGAGATGGGAACAGTATTCCATGTGCGGCCGAACCTGCGCCTTGCAAAGTTGCAGGCGGTGTGCCGGCATGAAATACTGTACCGCTCTGCTGAGCACGCCAAGCTTTTTAGAGGCCAATTTGGCCTTCCCTTCCAAGTGACCACGAAACTGCACGTCACTCGATATGTCGACGCCGAGGATTCCAATACTGGCTGAGGCAACAAGGGGAGTGCCTTGAAACTGAGGGGATACGACAAAGGGGTTCTTTTTAGCGGTTAACGCGCAAAGTTGTGTCTTCTGGGGGTTAATCTGGACTAGATTTAGTCGCCCCCAATTCGAGACTCTGTTCAGCAAAGACTCGACTTCAGACACAAGTTTATTCCGGCACTCGGAGACGTTTTCCCGAGAAATATTGGCTCGGCCGGTGTAAAGAGCATCACCAGTGCTGTCATCTGCGTAGCAATGAATGTTACGGGTTTGCATTGATATGCAGAAGAAACAGCGTTAGCGATAGCACGCAGCCCTGTGGAACACCAGCATTAATAGGCTTGCAATCGGAGCTTGCACCGTCAACAACGACCTTGATGCTCCGATCTGTAAGAAAGCTGGTGATCCAATCGCACAATTTCTCGGGAAGCCCATAGGAAGGGAGCTTCGGAAGAAGCGCTTTGTGCCAAACCCGATCGAAGGCCTTCGCAATGTCCAAACTAACGGCCAATGCCTCCCCCCTTGGACTCTACTGCCTCCGCCCATCTGTGAGTTAGGTAGACCAGAAGATCACCAGCTGACCGACCACGGCGAAAACCGTATTGGCGGTCACTAATCAGCTGGTGATCCTCAAGGTACCTCATGAGCTGGCAGTTTACAATGGACTCCATTGTTTTGGAGAACAAGGATGTGCTTGCGATAGGCCGGTAGTTGGACGGGTCTGAGCGGTCGCCTTTTTTAGGGATCGGGTGGACGAAAGCCGTCTTCCATGATTTTGGGACTACGCCAAGGGAGTAGGAGTACCGGAAAAGACGCGTTAAAACCGGTGCCAACTCTGGAGCACACGTCCTCAGCATAATTGGGGGGATTCTGTCAGGCCCACTCGACTTGTGGATGTCCAGGGAGAGGAGTGCTTTGCAAACCGAGCGCTGTGTGAACTACATGGCATGGATCACTCACACCACGGGATGGTCGGCGGCGTACTCCCCCCGTCATCTAATCTAAAGTCTAATAAGAAATGCTGTATAAGAAAATAAAAGAGACGTATTTTAATAATCCTGACATTTGAAAAGTTTAAATCTACAAGTTGATAAGCAAAAACAATAGTGTTGCATAATAATAACATTCTAAATGAGATTCATTCTGCCATGCCTACATTATGCGGATTAATAAATAAATTTCCTTGAATTTGCATGTCTTAACAAAATGCACAATGTGTAATGTAAAAATCATATTCTCTAAAGCAAAAAAGTGTATAGAGGGTGTAAGTGTATAGGAGATCTGCACTGCAGATGTGTTATGGCTGTAGCACAAATGGGTTGATTTGACCGGGGATGGACTACACTCTCACAGAATACCAGCGTAAAATAGCATAATGCTGCTGTTTTCTATGGTGAGTATTGAAAACTGAATACTTTTTACTGATAAGGAAGCAGGACATTTTTGTCCTCAAGTGTGACACAACACATCCGCTATTTGGTTCTTAATCGAGGATAGATGTTGGTGTGTGCTGGCCACACCATATGCTTATCTTCAGGTGAGCTGGGTGCTTGTTTATCACCTTTATTCTTTAAAATAAATATAACTTCACATTTTTTTTAAATGTTACCTCCACACTAGGATTTTCTCCTGTATCGTGGGGGCAGTTTACAAACACAAATTTCACAAGGACAAACATCCAGACCCAGAACAATTACTTGTAGGCCATACAATTACTTGTTCTGTACAGGATTCGAACCCGCAGCCCCCAGCGTAGCCACTTATTGCTGAGCCACTGCGCTACGGAGCCGTTAAATGTTGAACATTTGTTTCAGAGGAGAGATTATGGGGTGCTGGCGCCCTTTTTGCCTCCAAAACACGAGTACGTACTCTTCATAACACTGTCGGAAGTACAAATCAAGTTATATCAGCATTATTTGGATAATTATTCCAGAAGGTGAGCAATGTTTCCATATATCACTATTAATAATTATTGAAGATCATCACACCCATCAGGTCCACCACTCTTCATATATTATTTATTTATTTATTTGCTTTTTAAGGGAAACATACAGTACAATAAAAAAAAATACATCATAAAACATATAAAAGTAATCCTAAAACCAATGAAGTTTCCACCGATATCTAAAACATATTAAATAAAAGCTTGCAACCACAATATGTTTAAAGATTTTAAAAAAAAATAACTAAATGGTATTTATAATTAAACATATTAAGCAGTTAAAAGTAATATAATACACACAACCTATAGTGAAGCTACCAATTATAAATTAAGTTTTACAATATTTTTTTATAACTATTATATTTAAGGTGAATTATGTGAAATAGCTACAATATATCTTAAACTAAATGTCTTTCTAACTTTACCGTTACTGTTACAGCCTATTAAAGTCCACTGCTGAACATGGCCTCCCCCATAGATTGCCTCATAAGGGATACTTGTCATAGTTGCCACTTTTGACAAATAGTTTGGCAAATGCAGATTTTTATTTTTAGTAATTATTCGGAAGATGCATGCTAATAAGAGGCGAGAGTCCACCAAATCTATGAAATACCTTTTGACGTTTCACGTTAATCATTCCGCAATAACTTTGTACAAGCGTACTCACAGAATTTAAAATAACCTTTTAGGTAAATTCGAAGAAATGTACAACGTGTATAGTTTTTTATCATTAATTTAAATTCTAATCTTTCAAAGAAAGCAAAATATTAAAAAAATAATCAGTATCAACTTTTTTACTTGACGTCGTTTCAATAATATGTCGCTATGTAACTTACCGTATTTTTTGGATGATTAAAAATTATTGTTAAGCGAATAATCGACAAAAATATTCAAATAATCGGTAAAAATATTCAAATAATCGAATAATTCATTTTTAATGTATTATTTGTTTAGTTATTTCTTTATTTTTAAAATTCTTTAAATTATATTAATCATGAATAACATAAGTTTATTTTTTTACTAAGTAAACGTAAATTTGGCAAAAAAACTCATATACATAGCCGCGCTGAAAAAGCCACTATAGGTAATTTCAATCACCCGCCATTTCGAGAGCTTAGTGTGCGTAATTTAGTGATTTTGTGTTTGTCTTCTTATTTTGTGACTCAGTTTTAACTTTCTGAACTGTTTATTCTATATTCGTGGAAGCATGTGCCCATGTCACAAAGGAGGATTGTGCAAAAGTGCTAAAAAAAAAACGAAAATATTGATTATGGATGACTTTGAAAAAGACATTAATTTTGACTACATTATTGAAAATCAAATAATAATTAATCTAAACAACGGCAGCTTAACTAGTTGTACTGAAAATGATTCAATAAATGTATTTTTAATCTAGTTACAATTTTAAATTTTTTATAACTGTGCCTCTAGAAATAAGCAGTAACCACAAATACGAAGAAAGTGATAAATCTTGGGTTTTAAATTATCCGTTTTTAATTTATTCTGGAATTATTAAAACCAAACTGTAAATGATTACCAACTCTAAGTAATCGATATCGATTTTTTAAGAATCGAATATTGTATGTTTCCATCTTCTTCTTCTTTTAAATTATGGCTTCTCTTGGTAGAATTCTGCCAGTGTCAAGTCAGTCATGGAAGTGACAAGATAATAATAGTTAAAATAAGAGTTCTCAATTTAATGAGTGGGTTCACAATCTACAACAAAAGACGTCACATATTTAAACTACCATCACCAAAGTTGTTAAGTAATTTTACAGTTTAATGTTATTAGTACGAATAAAAGCACATAAAATATTTACGAAGGGAGTATACACTAGGGTTAGCAAAAATTGGAAGTTTACTGGACGAGGGATGTAATTGGGCAGGATATCGTAGAGAGAGAAAGAAAGTTTAGGACACTCAAAGAACAGATGATTGACAGATCCTTCATCTAGGCCACATTCACAGATTGAGCTATCCCTAATCCTGAGTTTGGCCATGTGTACAGGAGTACAAGCATGACCAAAGCGTAGGCGGCAAACAGTAGAGGTGGTAGTTTTACTAAAGTGGCGATATTGGAAGAACCAGGGTTTTGATGGGATATTAATTTGGACTTTGGAATATTGATTACATTTTAAAAATTTAGACTGATGCCAATAACTTTGCCAAGAAGACAGAAGGCCGGAGTTGGCCTTTGGCAGGAGGTCATGTGCATAGAGGCATTGTCTAGGGATAGAGCCAGATTTTGTGGCATCTTTAGCTAAACTATCAGCAATTTCATTGCCCTGAATCCCGCAGTGGCTAGGGATCCAAGCCAATACAATGTTCAGCCCTTTTTTATGACAATAGTACAGAGACTTTCTAATATTTAAAATTAGCGGGTATCTAATTTTAGAGTGAAAAGGACTGGATAAAATACTTTGAAGGCAACTAAGGGAGTCCGAGAAAATGAGGGTCCTTTTCAGACCATGTGATTCTGCATATGAAACTGCCTCTAAAATAGCCAAAGCCTCACCTGTGAATACAGATGAGTCAGGGGGAGAGTTAAAATTTAAAATAATCCTGTATTTAGGGATCCACACTGCAGACCCTACTAATCCATCGTTACTTAACTTTGAAGCATCAGTGTACATAGTTAACCAATCATGCCAATTTTGGAGGAGGAGCATATTTAATTTGTTATTTGCTTCAATAGTATTTTTATCTATTCCGATATCTAGAATAATGTCTGGATTGAAAATTAGAGCCTCGTAAGGGATAGTGTAAAGTGGGTTACTAAGGGATTGATAAATTGGAGAGGGAATGTTGAGCAATTTAATATAGCTTTTTATAATGCATGGCAAATCCTTGTGGGACCAATATGGGGAGTCCCTGACCAACCGATACAAGGAATGAAGTTTGGAAAGGAGAGGATGGAGTGAATAACATGCTACTTTAAACAAGAACCTATCTGAGAGATATTGCCTGCGTAGAGATAGAGGGGGCTCAACACATTCAACTTGAAGAGCGAGAATGGGAGTGGATTTCATGCTACCAGTTATTATACGTAGACATTTTGACTGGATTTTGTCCAAGGTATTAAGGGCCATTTTGCTACAAGGCTCTAGTAAGAAGCACCCATAATCAAAGTGACTTCTAATTAGAGCATTGTATAAAAGCTTTTGTGAGTAGGGGTGAGAGCCCCACCAAGCACCTGATAGAGATCGAATAACATTTAGATTTTTTTTCACATTTGGAGGCAATATATGATAAGTGAGGAATTCCTGTCATTTTGTTATCCAGGATTACTCCTAAAAATTTCACTTGATTTTCAGTGGGGATTAGAGTATTATCAATGTAGATGGACACTTCTGATATATACCTTCGCCTAGAGAAAACCACAGTACTGCATTTTAAAGGAGACATTGATAAACCATGCTCCAATAGCCAATTATTAAGAAAGTTGACAGCTTGGGATAAACGAGAGGTAGCCTCAGTAATAGAGGCATCAGATACATATAAGGCTAGATCATATTGTATGTTTCCATCAGATTGTATGTTTCCAATTTTTGGTTGGCATGCTTGGTGCAACATGTCTGACAGCTGTCAAAATGTATTTCTTAGATTTGAGATGATATTATGGGGTAGTGAATATAACCTATGTAACTACTTTAATTACGGTACTAACTTTAATTATGGTTTATAACAAATATACATTTCAATACATTAATGCATACTTACAGGCCACTTCCTGGAAAATCCTCTGGGTTCCTCTTCCCAGACTTTCAATCACTGCAAAGGATATGGACGCATCCATTAGTACTCAAGTACAATTCAGAGCGATATGAGATTATGCAACAGAAAAAGGTTTGTTGACTTTTATGATTCACATTAATTATAATTTAGTTTAGTCACATGACAAATTCAGTCAACTATTTTGATATTAAAGTTATTCATAATGTTAAAATGACTTTATTTACAGAGGGAGAGAGAAGAAGAAGACTCAGAAGGATCGTTAGCAGACTTCATTGATGATGATTCTACACCTGATGTAAGAATATGATACTTTAATTTTGCTTTAAACCCAAATAAATGAAATGTTTTTCACTGTAATGTTATAAGAAAAGAATATATTTTAATTATATAATTCCAGCCAAATTTCAGGCACAGTGAAAGTGGTATTTTTAATTTTGTTTGTTTTAACTTTTTTTTGGTTGTCTTCAAAGTGAAGAATGTCACTAATACATTAATGATTGTTATGCACCCTTAATTTAAATTTCGATATTTTTTCTTAACATTATAAATGTTTTTTAAAGCTTTTAAAAGTTTACATGGTAGAGCTACGCTGCAGGTATATTATAGTTGTAGCATGAATGGGTCAGTCCAATCGCGGTAGATCTTCTACTTTGTTCACAAACAACAAACTTTTTTTCCAAACAATAGAAAAAGTTCAGCTGGTATATACTAAAACGTATTTTTACAGGAAAGTTCAACAGAAGAATCATCAGATGACTTTTCAGATGCGAGTGATGACAGTCGCAAAAAAAATAAAAAGAAAAAAGCAGCCAAGAAGGGTAAAGTAAAAGATGGCAAAGCTAGCACCCGAAGGGGCACTAGAGCTAATCCAGGTATTTACCATTTAAGGCTTAAAATTAATGAAACTTTAACTTAAGATATATATATATATATATATATCTATATATATATATATATATATATATATATATATATATATATATATATATATATATATATATTATATATATAGTAGTTTGTTCAGAATCGTTCACTGAATCGATTCCTATCATTTTTTAATATAGGTAATTTTTTATTCCAAAAATAATTAAAATTACGTAAATTACAGTCACACTAAATCTGTACAGTCAAAACAAACGGAAATTGACCGTACCTTAAGGTAATAAAACTTTTAAGAGTGCAGTTTTATTTGTATTATTACTAATTCTGTCATTCAATAAAAATAAAGAAAATGAACTTTATTTCAAAGACGTTAAAGTCTTCGCGTTCGTGGATTTGTACTGTGACCACACCATTCTTCCGGAATTAATATAACTAATTTGATAAATAATCAGTACATAAAAATGTTTAACTAAAAATTTAGTGTACGTATTATGATTATAACATAATATACTAATTGGGGTGTCTTGAGGGTGTGAGTTTAATTACGTTACATATTGTATATATATTACATGTAGATTAGTACTAGGCTTTTTTTATAGAATGAGGGTGACAAAAGAGCACACAGTCCACCTGATGGTAAGTGGTTGCTGTGGTCCGTAGACATCTCCATCTATCCTCAATTACAAATCAAAATGCAGATGCGTTGTCACCCGTGAAGACTAGGGTGGAATGCCTCTTTTCCGGACACATACGAAACACAGCAGTGTTTAGTTGCTATTTTATGCTTGTATTCTGTGAGAATGTGGTCCATCCCCGGTCGAGCCGATTCATTCATGCTACAGCTATACTACTAATAGAGCTGCAGCATGGCTCTACCACGTATATGCAGATGAGGAGTAATGTGGTAGTACCACATTACTTCTCATCTGCCAAGAAGTCCATCTGGGTAGGTGCCACTCTCTTACTTCTGTGCTTGCACTATTGTGTTCCAGTTTTAAGTGTAAAGAGAGCTTGTATACATAACGATTTCTTATTTTTATGTGAATATTACCTGTTGAATGAAACTACTTTTTTTATAAATTTTATCACGTTAAATTATTTTGTATTTTCTCGGCTTTCGAATACTTTGCAGCACCCAAGAGTGGAAGGAAAGTTAAAAAGAAGATAAAGAAAAGTGTGATTTACAAGATGATGTTGTGACAAGGATTGAGAAAGGAATGCTTCAGTGGTTTGGTCATGTAGAAAGAATGAACGAGTAAAGATTTAGAAAGCAAATTTAGGTTGCAGTAGTGAACGGTAGAGTGGGAAAGGGACGCCCTAGAACCCTGGATGAAAGTTTATCGACCTAATTGACGATATATTTAAAATGGGTAAGATTAGGAGTACCCTTAACCGACGAGTGTTTATGCGTAGATATATAGGACTGTGCCAAATGGAAGTCCGTAGTCTCTGCCTAACCCTCTGGGTGACAGGCGTGAGTGTTTTATATGTATTATTATAAAAATAAAAAATAAATAATTTTAAAATTAATTTGGCTGTTAACTAAACTAGTTTCATTCAAACAGCTGGTATCATAATTGCAGGTTGTGAGGCATTCCATCTGAGTCCTCAAAGGTGACAACACATATATGTATATCCTTCTTTGTTTGAACTTGGTTGCATGTGTCCATGGACATAGTAGCCACTTACCATCAGGTGGTCTGTGAGTAAGTTAGTCACTTCCATTTTATAAAAAAAATAAGTATGAGTGAGCCAGTGTCTCTGATTGATTTAAAATATTGTTTAACAGTGGAACATCCAGAGGAAGACGAAAAGCCATTAGAGTCTCTGGAGACGAAGTACGAAAACCCAACAGAATGGTGGATGAAGCTGGTGACAGACGACGAGCTTGAGGATATGCGCAACTCGCACAAGCTGGTGCTCTTGTTCGATATCCTGCGGCAGTGTGAGGCGATTGGCGATAAATTGTTAGTATAAAGATTAAATTTAAAATTTTCTTTTATGATTAGCTTAACAGGTATAAGTTTAAATACAATACATAGCTTTTTACGAGGTAGAACCATGCTGCAGTTATTTTAGTAGTATAGTTTTAGCACGAATGGGTCGGCTCGACCAGGGAAGGTCCACACTCTCACAGAATACCAGCGTCAAATAGTAGCTTAATGCTGCTGTGTTTCGTATGGTGAGTGTAGAGATTCGGAGACCCTTTTTACTGGAAACAAGGCATTCCATCCACGTCCTATGGACGTTGATGTCTATGGGCCACAGCAACCATTAACTATCAGGTGGACTGTGTGCTTGTTTGTCTTCTTATAAAAAAAACATAGTTAACCTATTTATCTCTTTAATTTCGCATTCATTAAAGATTTGGCAGAAATATATTTGAATAGTATTTTATAATATGTAGATTATTATGTTTACTATAGCCGTTAACTTTTTTATTTTATACGTACAGATTAGTATTCTCACAGTCTCTGTATTCACTGGACCTTATTGAGCACTTCTTGGGCAAAGTCGACGAAGCTACACAAGAAGGACGTATTGACGAAAAACTTGGTGGACATGTTGGTAAGTAGTGTAAAAAAAATATTAAGGAAATTTTTTTATATACCACGTTTATTTTGTGTTCTAACATTGTCATCAGATATTGAGCTATATTCAAAATTTTAAGTCTCTAGCTCATTAGGAAGTTAGTACAAACACAATTACTAAAGTCGACCCGAACAGAACATACATGAGCCGTGATAGCTCAGGGACTAAGCGCTCGCGGAATTACACGGTACGCGAGCAAAACCGGGTTCGATTCCTGCCGGCATCAATGAAATTGTTAATTGCAATTTTAAGTGCTGTTTTATCACGTGCTCAGGGGTGAAGGAAAATATTGTGAGGAAACCTGCATGTCTGAGAAATTAAGAAAGAATTCTAAAGACATGTTAAGTTCGCCCACACGCATTTCAGGGCAGCGCGGCGGACAT